CTGCAAGGGAATAGGTATCTCGATTAGGTTTTTATTGGTAGGTGGGCATTTGAGTTTATATGTGTATATATATATATATACATATATATATATATATATATATATATATATATATATATATATATATATATACATATGTATACATATGTGTACATATATACATATATACATATATATATATATATATATATATATATATATATATATATATATATATATATATCTTCTAAATAATGTATGCTGGGATTTAGTTTTGTGTTCAAATGACCCTAATATAGTTTACGATTACTTTATCACCATTTTTTCAGCAGGGTATGATAAGTATTTTCCTGTAAAATCTAAGTTAATCAAACCAAAATCACATGATACACCCTACATAACTCCAGCAATAAAGGCCCTTATAACTGAGAAGAACAGGCTCCAGCGCCTATTTGCAAAACGGCCTATTACATATGGCGATCAGTTCAGACGCGCGCGTAATCATCTCACCAAAGCGATTCGCTCTGCCCGCAGCAAATACTATACAGAAAAAATAAAGGCTAATTCAAATAACTGCAGGAACACATGGAAGATCATCAATTCAATTCTGAACAGAGATAATAAATTTCAGAATCAAACGATAGAAGTAGAGGAAGGCCAGTCTCGAGATTCTACTCACATTCCTCACTATATCAATAATTATTTCGTTAATGTTGCAAATAACTTAATTAACAATGTCCCCCATCCATTCTATAGTTTCATGCATTCCATGGGGCCCTCGCACAACACAAATCTATCTTTAAATCCCGTAACCGAATCCGAACTCTCTGAAGTAGTAAATCAACTGAACAACTCTGCCTCCGGTTATGATGGCATCACAGCGCCAATAATTAAATCCACTTTGCCTGCCATTTCCCGTCCCCTGCTCCACTTGTGCAACACTTCACTTACTACGGGTATATACCCAAACAAACTCAAAACAGCAAAGGTTACTCCAGTTCACAAATCAGGTTGCAAAACCAATGTTTATAACTACAGACCAGTATCAGTTCTGCCCGTAATAAGTAAAATTCTGGAAAAAATAATCTATATCAGATTGGAAAATTATCTCATACGCAACAGTATTCTATCAGATTGCCAATTTGGATTTACGAAGAATAAATCAACAGAAATGGCTGTTATGTCATTTACAAACCATATATACAAGGCCTTTGATAATAACGAATTCACTGTTGCTGTATGCCTAGATTTATCTAAGGCTTTTGATACGGTTAACCACCCAATTCTGCTCTCATAACTATCTCATTATAGTATCAGGGGCTCTGCAAACCGCTTGTTTTGTTCATATCTGTCTAACAGAAATAAATTCGTTTCATATAATGGATCCAATTCAGATTGCCTTCCATTATCTCATGGTGTACCACAAGGGTCACTGTTAGGGCCTCTTCTTTTCCTGATCTACATCAATGATTTGGTGAAAACATCCTCGTATCTGGAATTCATCTTATATGCTGATGACAGTAACCTCTATGTTTCAGGTAAAGATATTAATCAACTCATTAGTAACATCAATAGAGAACTCAACACTATCAGTAATTGGATTTCTTCAAACAAACTAACGCTAAACATTGTTAAATCCCATTATGTCATATTTAATCGCAATAAGAAACTTCCCCCAACACTTCTGCCGTTAATATTAGAACATAAACCCTTGTCAAGGAAAACCGAAACTAAATTTCTCGGAGTAATCATTGATGATAAATTATCGTGGAAAAGTCATACGAACAGTATTCGTCAAAAAATTAATAAACAGTGTGGGATCTTGTACCATACTCGTGATTTTCTCACAATGAATGCCCGTAAATGCATATATTTTTCGTTAATCTATCCACATCTAACATACTGCAATACTGTCTGGGGAGCTGTCAATGAAACCACGCTAAAACCCGTTATAACTGCCCAAAAACGAGTAATCCGAACCATTACTGGATTAGGCAAATATGACCATACCAATGAGGCATTTTCTACACTTAAACTATTGAAGCTCAGAGATATAAATATCTACTTCTGTGCTCTCTTCATTTTTAAATGTATCAGTATATATATTTTTTAAATGTATTAGTATATACGAAAATAACTTATTTCGGTTCAGAAATGATTTAAGATATCCTCTGCGATCAAACTCACTATTAAAGCACCCAACTATAGGCTCAAACCAATCAAAAACATGTATTTTATATCATGGGGTAAGTGTATGGAATAATCTGCCCTCACATCTCCACAATGCTCCGTCACTGCTGTCACTCAAAAAATCGTTGAAGACCCACCTATTACATATGTCAGAGTGAATGTTAATGTTTAGGACAAATGTAAAAAGTAGTTTGAATAAGTATATATTCAGGTACATAACAGCGGGTATTCATGCATCTGTACGAATGTTTACATAAATGTACAATGTATACATTTATAAGTATATATGTGTATGTGCACATGCAAATGCATGTAAGGTTAATATAAGCAT